TCTCTCTCACCATCTCCCCCCCCCCCCCTCTCTCTCTCACCATCTCCCCCCCCTCTCTCTCTCACCATCTCCCCCCCCCTCTCTCTTCACCATCCCCCCCCCCTCTCTCTCTCACCATCTCCCCCCCCCCCTCTCTCTCTCACCATCCCCCTCTCTCTCTCTCACCATCCCCCCTCTCTCTCTCTCACCATCTCCCCCCCCTCTCTCTCCTCTCCCCCCCCCCCTCTCTCTCTCACAATCTCCCCCCCCCCTCTCTCTCACAATCCCCCCCTCTCTCTCACCATCTCCCCCCCTCTCTCTTCACCATCTCCCCCCCCCTCTCTCTCTCACCATCCCCCCCCTCTCTCACCATCTCCCCCCCCCCTCTCTCACCATCTCCCCCCCCCCTCTCTCTCTGCCCCTCCCCCCACCACCCCCCCCTCTCTCTCTGCCCCTCCCCCCACCATCTCCCTCCCGGTGATGCGGCACCCCCGCTAGACAGCGCTCCACGCTCCAGCAATCAAAGCCCGCAGGCCGCATTCCCCTGCCAGCGCTGTTGACACGGGGGGCGCACTCATGCGAGAGGGGGGCCCGAAGCGATGTGTTGAGGGGGGGGGGCAACGCCTGGAGGGGGGGGGGGGTCACAAAGTCAAAGATCCCCCCCCACCTTGTATAGCCTGCTACAGACTGTAGGGGCAAGTGCTGTTAGCGAGCAGCGCCTATGAAGGCCGGCACGGCACGCGAGGGGGTGGGGTGGCCAGCATCACGCCCGGCCGCCTTTGTCTCCCCAGTGGCGATGTTTACACACCGCTGCACCAGGTCCTCATTTGAGGCTGAGTCGACCTAGGGGAGACCTAGGACCGGTTCAGATAATCCGTCACCGGTGTTGGCCGTGAGTGGGAGTCGAACTCAGGTGGCCGGGTTCGTAGCGCAGCGCGCTAACCGCTACACCACCGCTCCCTACAACAAACACACTCGCACACAGCGGGACACACACACATACACACACACACAAAGACTAAGGTCCCCCGTATCGCCTTAACATACTTTTGGAGCAAGAGTGGAGAAGTTTCCATGACCTAGGCAGTCTGCTCACGACCAGCTCCGACCGAGCGGCATTATCTTTCCATCAGGTGCGTAACGCTGTGTGCAAGCTACCTGGTCTGCCTCTCCACACGAAGCTGCCGGTTTCTTCTCGGCTACGGTTAGGCCCTCCATTATCTCTGCGTGCAACATGCCGAGGCCTTTCAAGGAGCATCTTCGCCGGTTTGAAACATTCAGGCTGGCCCGCCTGTGATCCATCCTGGGTTAGCCAGACTGGATTCCAGTGTGAGGATCTCACATAATCCTTGACAGATTCTGGACACAGTCCCATCGACTAATTGAGGGCCTGGACCCCCTCTACAGATTGTGCTTCAGGCCCTCTTAAGACAAATCAAAATCTTTATCCTGGAGAAATCCGATGAGCTATGTAGCGCTTTATCACAGATGTGCAGTGATGGACAATTAGAATCCAGCGAGTTGGCTGTCATGGAGGCACTACGTGCGATAAACCCACCTGCAGGGCACCAATGTGCCTACAGAATGCTGTACAGCAAGTAGGTTTCTGACCAATATGTAGCATTTGGGTGTGCATCTTCTTCAAGCACAGAGTAACAGATATGGCCAATTATCCAAAGAAGCTGAAAACGTTGTTCCTGGATAAAGGAAGATGACCATCACTGAGAGGGAGAGTCTCTGGACAGAGGACACGTGGAAGATGACCATCACTGAGAGGGAGAGTCTCTGGACAGAGGACACGTGGAGGATGGCCATCACTGAGAGGGAGTGTCTCTGGACAGAGGACACGTGGAAGATGACCATCACTGAGAGGGAGAGTCTCTGGACAGAGGACACGTGGACGATGGCCATCACTGAGAGGGAGAGTCTCTGGACAGAGGACACGTGGAAGGTGGCCATCACTGAGAGGGAGTGTCTCTGGACAGAGGACACGTGGAAGATGACCATCACTGAGAGGGAGTGTCTCTGGACAGAGGACACGTGGAAGATGGCCATCACTGAGAGGGAGTGTCTCTGGACAGAGGACACGTGGAAGATGGCCATCACTGAGAGGGAGTGTCTCTGGACAGAGGACACGTGGAAGGTGACCATCACTGAGAGGGAGAGTCTCTGGACAGAGGACACGTGGAAGGTGACCATCACTGAGAGGGAGAGTCTCTGGACAGAGGACACGTGGAAGATGGCCATCACTGAGAGGGAGTGTCTCTGGACAGAGGACACGTGGAAGATGGCCATCACTGAGAGGGAGTGTCTCTGGACAGAGGACACGTGGAAGGTGACCATCACTGAGAGGGAGTGTCTCTGGACAGAGGACACGTGGAAGATGACCATCACTGAGAGGGAGTGGCTCTGGATAGAGGACACGTGGAAGATGACCATCACTGAGAGGGAGTGTCTCTGGACAGAGGACACGTGGACGATGGCCATCGCTGAGAGGGAGAGTCTCTGGACAGAGGACACGTGGAAGATGACCATCACTGAGAGGGAGTGTCTCTGGACAGAGGACACGTGGAAGGTGACCATCACTGAGAGGGAGTGTCTCTGGACAAAGGACACGTGGAAGATGGCCATCACTGAGAGGGAGTGTCTCTGGACAGAGGACACGTGGAAGATGAACATCACTGAGAGGGAGAGTCTCTGGACAGAGGACACGTGGAAGGTGACCATCACTGTGAGGGAGAGTCTCTGGACAGAGGACACGTGGAAGGTGACCATCACTGAGAGGGAGTGTCTCTGGACAGAGGAAACGTGGAAGGTGACCATCACTGAGAGGGAGTGTCTCTGGACAGAGGACACGTGGAAGATGGCCATCACTGAGAGGGAGTGTCTCTGGACAGAGGACACGTGGAAGATGAACATCACTGAGAGGGAGAGTCTCTGGACAGAGGACACGTGGAAGGTGGCCATCACTGAGAGGGAGTGTCTCTGGACAGAGGACACGTGGAAGATGACCACTGAGAGGGAGAGTCTCTGGACAGAGGACACGTGGAATGTGACCGTCACTGAGAGGGAGTGTCTCTGGACAGAGGACAAGTGGACGATGGCCATCACTGAGAGGGAGAGTCTCTGGACAGAGGACAAGTGGACGATGGCCATCACTGAGAGGGAATGTCTCTGGACAGAGGAAACGTTCCACTGTTTTAAGACACCTGTAACCCCCCTCCTGACTACACATTTCCGCACAATAAAGATGCAATGCCAGTCTTGGGATATATACCAGTGATATACGAGTGATACCTTGTACACAAACACCTTGGTATTCGTCACCCTCTGCAATGCATACCAATTCTGTAGAATGTTTAATAGTTTAAGTCATTGGAAATTACAGGCCCTTTTGACTATTTAATTATATCATTTGTAGATAATGGCTATGAAAACACGGGCACATTCTGAATACAAATTAACCTAACCTTACAAAAGTTCAAACTTGATTTTGCGCTTTCGTGACAGCATATATACATTACATTTTTAATACGCAATGTCACCAACAAAAATGTATTACACTTCACTCTAGAGGAGTTGTACACCCCTAGCTGCCACCGCTATTCAGTGGCCTAAAATCAAATAAAATGTTTCGCTCCGGATGACCGCTGCAAAGTATTATCTGCATTTTTATTTAGTGTGCTGATCTTAAAGGTGCATTGAAACATTTGATACTCCGACTGATGCTCCTGTTGTTATGGAGTGACTCATGCAGCCAGCTATGGCTACAGGGTTTGGTGGTACATGTTGTTTATGTCGTTTATTGTGAAGATTCCGTCACAGTTCCTATAATCACTGTTACGTTGCTTTTATGGCTTTATTTTGGTGATTTCGAAAAGTTTTTTTGGTTTGCCCATGTTTGTTGTAGTACAGAGTTAGACTGATGGCCTTAATCTAAGTTGTCTTGTGGTTGTTGTTGTTGTTTGACTTGCATCCCACTGGGATTATTGCACACAGCGTTGGTGTACGGTGGTTTTTCAGGAATATTTTGCTGTTTTTTCCTGGATTTTCTGTTTGCACAGTCACATAAAGTCACTTTAAGATGTTTTCTTGGTCATGTTTTTTGTTTGTTGCAGTTGCACCCGATTCAAGAGCCGAATGGCTCACAGGGCTAGACCAAATAAATGAAACTGAAATGAAACTGAGTGAGCACCTCCGGCAGGTCGAGGCTGCGTTGGCTGGGTCTTGCAGCCCGCAATGGCCAGCCAACGCATGCCCAAACAGAATCTGTTTGGCTAGATAGAGGTGGCTAAACGGGCTAGAGAAGAGATGGAGCTGATGTGGTACAGGGTGGTGTGGGAGCTGAGTGTATTTGCCGATGACTGGTACCGGAGGTGTCAAGATCGGCCTCTGTGGAGGGGGAGGCTCGCAAATGACGCTGCTGCTGCTGCTGGGCAATTGGAGGCAGTCGCCCTCCAACAACAACAACAACAACGAAGGGCGGAGGAGCGACGCTCACGACAGCGAGTTGGTACCGTGGGGCGCACAGGTGGTGCATCTGCCGGCCATCTCATTCTCGGTCAGTCAACGCAAAGCGCCTGGGTCTGTCCCGTGACCTCCTGTCAGCGAGCCTTGGACAGTTCACGTGGCCTCAAGGTGCACCTAGCCTGGCACAAGTAGTTGTGTGTGTGCGCGTGTGTCTTTGGGGAGCGGTCGTGTGGTTGTTAGCGCTGCACTGCGCTAACAAACCTCGCAAAAATATCCGAGTTCGATTCTCGCTCACGGCCAACGCCTTTGACGAATATCTGAACTAGATCGTGGGCCATCCCCTAGGTAGACTTAGTTTTAAAAATGAGCACCTGGTGCGGTGTGTAGTTAGCATCGCCACCGGGGAGACAAAGGCGGCCGGGCGCGGTGCTGGCCACCCTCCCCTTTCGCGTGCCGTGCCGGCCTTCGTAGGTTCTGCTCGCTAACAGCACTTGCCCCGACAGTCTGTCGAGGTTATACGGGGGACCTTTGCGTGCTGTGTGTTTCCACAGCGCTGGTCCCGAGAGATGCCGGGTTGAAGAGCAAGTACCTGAGACATCATACAGGTGAGCGGGATTCTAGATTTGAAGTTTTCGTGACCGCAAGGATCCATAACTCTTTGGTTCTTTCGGTAAAGTCACGTGGGTGTAAAAATAAAATAAAAAATTAAATGAAACAAAAATGAAAACCGCTGAATTAAATCACGACGTTTCGGAGGCAACACACGCTTCCTTCAGCAGGTGTAAAAAAAAACACAGCAAAATTACTGCTGAAGGAAGCTTGTGTTGCCTCCGAAACGTCGTGATTAAATGTAGTTGTTTTCATTTTTGTTTTATTTTATTTATTTATTTTTACCTACGTGACTTTACCGAAAGAACGAATGAGTATGGGTGAGCGCGACTCTGAGGACCCCATTGGGCAATGCCTCACGAATGTTCACCTGTGAATGCTGGGTCACCTGTGCGTACCTGTGTAATCACCTGTGTGTGTGTTCACGTGTGTGTGTGTTCAACTGTGTGGGTTCGCGTGCGCGTGTGTTCATCTGTGTGTGATGACGTGTGTGTGTAGGTGTCCTCACCTGTGCGTGTTCACCTGTGCGTACCTGTGTAATCACCTGTGTGTGTTCACGTGTGTGTGTATGTTCACCTGTGTGTGATTACGTGTGTGATTACGTGTGTGTAAGTCACCTGTGTGCTCACCTGTGCGTGTTCACCTGTGCGTGTTCACCTGTGCGTGTTCACCTGTGCGTGTTCACGTGAGAGTTCACTTGTGTGTGTTCACGTGCGTGTGTGTTCACCTATGTGTAATGACGTGTGTGTGTGTAGGTCACCTGTGTGCTCACCTGTGCGTGTTCACCTGTGCGTGTTCACGTGAGAGTTCACCTGTGTGTGTTAATCTGCGTGTGTGAGTTCACCCGTGTGTGTGTTCACCTTTGTGTACGTGTGTTCAATTGTTGTTTGTGATCACGTGGGGAGCGGTGGTGCAGCGGTTAGCGCTACGCTGCGACCGGGCGGCTCGCCTTCGATTCCCACTCACGGCTAACACCAAGTGACGATTATTTGAAACGGCCCTGGGCCTCCCCTAGGTCGACTCAGCCTCAAATGAGCACCTGGTGCGGTGCGTTAACATCGCCAATAGGGAGACAAAGGCGGCAGGGCGTGGTGCTGGCCACCCACCCCCTCGTGTGCCGTGCCGGCCTTCATAGGTACGACTCGCGAACAGCACTTGCCCCAAAAGTCTGTTCAGGCTATACGGGGGATCTTTGTCTTTTGATAACGTGTGTGTGTAGGTCACCTGTTCTTCCCTCGGCAGTGCAGCGCTCACTACTACCGCCTGTACCACACCTCCCGTGACTGCACTACACCCGCTTGTGAGTGAACACACACATACACACACACACACACTGCCAACACACGAAGACAAAGATCCCCAGTGTAGACACGCAGACTGCAGGGGCAAGTGCTATCAGCTGGTAGCGTGGCCAGAGCCACTTCCGTTCTGATGTTTGAAGTCCTAAACCCAAGCAGGTACACATTTGAGGCTGAGTCGACCTAGGGGAGGCCCAGGACAGGTTCAGAGAGTCATCACTGCATTATTGTGATAATGGGGGTGATGGTGGTGGTGATGGTGGCGGTGTTGACGGTGGTGATGGTTATGATGGCATTTGTGTTGATTTGTGTTATGATGGCATTTGTGTTGTTGGTGCTAGTGATATTGATTACGATGGTGACGGAATTCGTGGCATTGATGGGGTTGATGGTTTTAGTATCGATGGTGTTGATGCTGATCGTGATTATGATGGTGATGATGTTGGTGACGGTGGTGATGGCTGTGATTATGATGTTGGTGATGTGTGTAATCCTGGTGACGATCATGATGCTGCTGATTGTGTTTATTATGGTGATGGCGGTGATGTTGATGGTGGTGATGTTGATGGTGGTGAGGGTGATTTTGATGGTGGTGATGGTGATGTTGATGATTAGGTTGACGGTGGTGATGTTGATGGTGGTGATGTTGATGGTAATGTTGATGGTGGTGATGTTGATGGTGATGTTGCTGGTGGCGATGTTGATGGTGATGTTGATGGTGGTGATGTTGATGGTGATGTTGCTTGTGGTGATGTTGATGGTGGTGATGTTGATGGTGGTGATGTTGATGGCAATGTTGATGGTGGTGATGTTGATGGTGATGTTGATGGTGATGTTGCTGGTGGTGATGTTGATGGTGATGTTGATGGTGGTGATGTTGATGTTGCTGGTGGTGATGTTGATGGTGGTGATGTTGATGGTGGTGAGGGTGAGGGTGATTTTGATGGTGGTGATGGTGATGTTGATGATTATTTTGACGGTGGTGATGTTGATGGTAATGTTGATGGTGGTAATGTTGATGGTGATGTTGCTGGTGGTGATGTTGATGGTGATGTTGATGGTGGTGATGGTGATGTTGCTGGTGGTGATGTTGATGGTGGTGATGTTGATGGTGATGTTGCTGGTGGTGATGTTGATGGTGGTGATGTTGATGGTGATGTTGCTGGTGGTGATGTTGCTGGTGGTGATGTTGATGGTGATGTTGCTGGTGGTGATGTTGATGGTGATGTTGATGGTGGTGATGTTGGTGGTGATGTTGATGGTGGTGACGTTGATGTTGCTGGTGGTGATGTTGATGGTGGTGACGTTGATGTTGCTGGTGGTGATGTTGATGGTGGTGATGTTGCTGGTGGTGATGTTGCTGGTGGTGATGTTGATGGTGGTGACGTTGCTCGTGGTGATGTTGATGGTGGTGATGTTGATGGTGGTGACGTTGATGTTGCTGGTGGTGATGTTGATGGTGATGATGTTGATGGTGGTGACGTTGATGTTGCTGGTGGTGATGTTGCTGGTGGTGATGTTGCTGGTGGTGATGTTGATGGTGGTGACGTTGATGTTGCTGGTGGTGATGTTGATGTTGATGGTGGTGATGTTGCTGGTGGTGATGTTGATGGTGGTGATGTTGCTGGTGGTGATGTTGATGGTGGTGATGTTGATGGTGGTGATGTTGATGGTGGTGATGTTGCTGGTGGTGATGTTGATCGTGGTGACGTTGATGTTGCTGGTGATGATGTTGCTGGTGGTGATGTTGATGGTGGTGACGTTGATGTTGCTGGTGGTGATGTTGATGGTGGTGATGTTGATCGTGGTGACGTTGATGTTGCTGGTGGTGATGTTGCTGGTGGTGATGTTGATGGTGGTGACGTTGATGTTGATGGTGATGATGTTGCTGGTGGTGATGTTGATGGTGGTGATGTTGATGGTGGTGACGTTGATGTTGCTGGTGGTGATGTTGCTGGTGGTGATGTTGCTGGTGGTGATGTTGCTGGTGGTGACGTTGATGTTGCTGGTGGTGATGTTGCTGGTGATGTTGATGGTGATGTTGATGTTGATGGTGGTGACGTTGTTGTTGCTGGTGGTGATGTTGCTGGTGATGATGTTGATGGTGGTGATGTTGCTGGTGGTGATGTTGCTGGTGGTGATGTTGATGGTGGTGATGTTGATGGTGGTGATGTTGCTGGTGGTGATGTTGATGTTGCTGGTGGTGATGTTGCTGGTGGTGATGTTGCTGGTGGTGATGTTGATGGTGGTGATGTTGCTGGTGGTGATGTTGATGGTGATGTTGATGGTGGTGATGTTGATGTTGCTGGTGGTGATGTTGCTGGTGGTGATGTTGCTGGTGGTGATGTTGCTGGTGGTGATGTTGCTGGTGATGATGTTGCTGGTGGTGATGTTGATGGTGATGTTGATGGTGGTGACGTTGATGTTGCTGGTGATGATGTTGCTGGTGATGATGTTTCTGGTGGTGACGTTGATGTTTCTGGTGATGATGTTCCCGTGTGCAGATTACAGGCGTTGTGCCCGACTGCTGTCTCGCCTGGCGGCGAGTCCAGTGTGCCGCGCCTAACAACACACTTCAACTTACACACTTACACTTACACACACACTTACACATACACACTTACACTTACACACACACTTACACACACTTACACACTTCAACTTAAACACACACTTACACTTACACACTTACAATTGCACACACTTACACTTACACACTTATACACACTTACACACACACACTTACACACACACTTACACACACACTTCCACTTACACACACACTTACACACGCATTTACACACACACTTACACTTTTACACTTACACACACTTACACACACTTACACTTACACACACACTTACACTTACACACACTTCCACTTACACACATTTACACACATACTTACACTTACACACACACACTTACACAAACTTACACACTTCCACTTACACACACACACACACACTTCCATTTACACACTTCCACTTACACACACTTCCACTTACATACTTACACACACACACACTTAGACACACACTTACACACTTACACACACTTACACACTTCCACTTACACACACTTCCACTTACACACTTACACTTACAGACACACACACTTACACACACTTCCACTTACACACACACTTACACACACACTTACACACACACTTACACTTACACACTTACACACACACTTACACACACTTCCACTTACACACACACTTACACGCACATTTACACACACACTTCCGCTTAGACACTTCCACTTACACACTTCCACTTACACACACACTTACACACACACTTGCACTTACACACACACTTGCACTTACACACACACTTGCACACACCTACACACACTTCCACTTACACACACACTTCCACTTACACACACTCACACACACACTTACACACTTACACTTACACACACACTTCCACTTACACACACTTACACTTACACACTTACACACACACTTCCACTTACACACACTTACACACACACTTGCACACTTACACGTACACACACACACTTCTACTTACACACACTTACACACACACACTTACACACACTAATACACACACACTTACACACACACACACACTTACACACACTTAAGCACTTACACACACACACTTGCACACACACTTACACACTTACAAACATACATCCACTTGCATACTTCCACTTGCACACTTCCATTTACACACACTTACACACACACTTGCACACTTACACGTACACACACACTTCCACTTACACACACTTACACACACACACTAACAGACACACACTTACGCACACACACTTACACACACTTCCACCTACACACTTACACACACACTTACACACACACTTACACACACTTACACACACACTTACACACACTTCCACTTACACACACACTTACACACACGCTTACACTTACACACACACTTATACACACTTACACTTACACACACTTACACACACTTACACTTACACAGACACTTCCACTTACACAGACACTTCAATTTACACACACACACACCTACACACACTTACACACACACTTACACACACTTACACACACTTCCACGCACTTACACACACACTTACACTTACACACACACACACTTACACACACTTACACTTACACATACTTACACACACACTTCCACTTACACACACTTAAACACACACACTTACACACACTTACACACACTCACACACACACTTACACTAACACACACTTCCACTTACTCACACACCTGCACACACACTTACACACAAACTTACACGCATTTACACACACTTCCACGCACTTACACACACACTTCCACTTACACACACTTCCACTTACACATACTTACACACACACTTCCACTTACACACACTTAAACACACACACACTTACATACACTTACACGTACACACACACTTACACTTACACACACTTACACACACACACTTACACACACACACTTACACATACACTTACACTTACTTACACACACTTACTTACACACACTTACACACACACTTACACACACACACTTCCACTTACACACACTTACACTTACACACTTACACACACACACACACTTACATGCACACACTTACATACACACACTTACACAGACACACTTACATATACACTTGCATACACATACTTAAATGCATACATACACACATACATACACACACACAAAGATAAAGACAAAGATCCCCCGTATAGCCTGAACAGACTGTAGGGGCAAGTGCGGTTAGCGAGCACCTATGAAGGCCGGCACGGTACACGAGGGGGTGGGTGGCCAGTACCACGCCCGGCCGCCTTTGTCTCCCTAGTGGCGATGCACCAGGTACTCATATGAGGCTGAGTGGACCCAGGGGAGGCCCAGGACCGGTTCAGATAATCGTCACCTGGTGCTGGCCACGAGCGTGAATCGAACCCGGGTCGCCGGGTTCGTAGCGCAGCGTAGCGCTAACCGCTACACTACCGCTCACATACACACACTCACACTTACTACATACACACACTCACACTTACTACATACACACACTCACACTTACTACATACACACACTCACACTTACATACACACACTCACACTTACTACATACACACACTCACACTTACTACATACACACACTCACACTTACATACACACACACACTTACTACATACACACACTTACATACACACTCACACTTACATACACACACTCACACTTACATACACACACTCACATACACACTTACACATACACTTACACATACACTTACACACATACTTACATAGATACTTATATACATACACACTCGCGTAGATACATACACACGTACACACGTACATACATACATACGTACAAACTTACACATACTTACACGCACACGTCCACATATACAAAGACACATACATGCCTACATGCACACACACACACCTACACATACACTCTTATATACGCATACACAACTACTCACATATACAAACAAGCATGCGCATATACAAAGACAAATACACACACGTATACACATCACGCCTCACCGCTAATGCTTCCCCAGTCCTGACGTTTACACACCGCACCAGGTACTCATTTATGGCTGAGTCGACCTAGGGGAGGCCCAGGACCGGTTCAGATATAATCGTCACTGATGTTGGGCCGTGAGCGGGAATCGAACCCGGGTCGCGTTACACCGCAAGGACAAAGATCCCCCGTATAGCCTCCACAGACCATTGGGGCAAGTGCCGGTTCTGAAAGTCAGCAAGCGCCTGACTTTCAGAACCGGCAGTCGAGCCTCAAATCGGTTACCGGTTTAACGGTTACCGGTTTCACCTACCGCGGTGCACACGTAACGCCACGTACATTTGCTCAGCCATATGGCCACGCGGTATCGTTGTGCTGTTAGCGAGCACCTATTAGGGCCGGCAGCGCTCACGCCTGGCCGACCCTTGTCTCATCGGCGCTGATGCCCATAGCCAGGCCACCACGCTTCACGTGACAACTGTGTTAATAAGGCTGCTGTGTAGGGTGGAGAAGGGTCTACGACACGCGCACACACGCACACATTTTACTTGCGCAGAAGATCCATTTGAGGCCGAGTCGACCTGAGAATGGCCCACGCCAGCAGCAAATATTCCAACTCGCGGGGCGGCAATGAAACACCGGTGACCCCCGCCTCGTTCGTTTTCTCCCGGCGCCTCGTCGCTCATTTGATGCCGAGTCGACCTAGGGGAGGCGCGCGGGCCCGTTCCGGTCGGGCACAAACGTAAGGCCAACTCCCACAGCGACAAACGTTTCACAGCGCTCACGACAACGCAACAGGACGGGTGGAAAGGGCCCTGCAGGGGTGTGGTAGCGCCTCTCAGCGAGAAGGAGCCTGGGTTCGATTCCCGACTCGGGTGCCTCTCTGTGTGCAGTTCTTATGTTCTACCCCTGTTCTGTAGAGTGTGAGTGGAGTTTGTATGATCTACCCCTGTTCTACAGAGTGAGTGAGTGGAGTTTGTGTGATCTCCCCCTGTTCTACAGAGGGAGAGTGAGTGGAGTTTGTATGATCTCCCCCTGTTCTACAGAGTGAGTGAGTGGAGTTTGTGTGATCTCCCCCTGTTCTGCAGAGTGAGTGAGTGGAGTTTGTATGATCTCCTTCTGTTCTACAGAGTGAGTGAGTGGAGTTTGTATGATCTACCCCTGTTCTACACAGTGAGTGAGTGGAGTTTGTATGATCTCCCCCTGTCCTACAGAGTGAGTGAGTGGAGTTTGTATGATCTCCCCCTGTTCTACAGAGTGAGTGAGTGGAGTTTGTATGATCTAGCCCTGTTCTACACAGTAAGTGAGTGGAGATTGTATGATCTCCCCCTGTTGGACAGAGTGAGTGAGTGGAGTTTGTATAATCTTCCCCTGTTCTGTAGAGTGAGTAAAAGGAGTTTGTATGATCTCCCCCTGTTCTACAGAGTGAGTGAGTGGAGTTTGTATGATCTCCCCCTGTTCTACAGAGTGAGTGGAGTTTGTATGATCTACCCCTGTTCTACAGAGTGAGTGAGTGGAGTTTGTATGATCTCCCCCTGTTCTACAGAGTGAGTGGAGTTTGTATGATCTACCCCTGTTCTACAGAGTGAGTGAGTGGAGTTTGTATGATCTCCCCCTGTTCTACAGAGTGAGTGAGTGGAGTTTGTGTGATCTCCCCCTGTTCTACAGAGTGAGAGTGACTGGAGTTTGTATGATCCTCCCCTGTTCTACAGAGTGAGTGAGTGGAGTTTGTATGATCTCCCCCTGTTCTACAGAGTGAGTGAGTGGAGTTTGTATGATCTCCCCCTGTTCTACAGAGTGAGTGGAGTTTGTATGATCTCCCCCTGTTCTACAGAGTGAGTGGAGTTTGTATGTTCTCCCCCTGTTCTACAAAGTGAGTGAGTGGAGTTTGTATGATCTCTTCCTGTTCTGTAGAGTGAGCGAGTGGAGTTTGTATGATCTACCCCTGTTTTGTAGAGTGAGTGAGTGGAGTTTGTATGATCTCCCCCTGTTCTACAGAGTGAGTGAGTGGAGTTTGTATGATCTCCCCCTGTTCTACAGAGTAAGAGTGAGTGGAGTTTGTATGATCTTCCCCTGTTCTACAGAGTGAGTGAGTGGAGTTTGTATGATCTCCCCCTGTTCTACAGAGTAAGAGTGAGTGGAGTTTGTATGATCTCCCTCTGTTCTACAGAGTGAGTGGAGTTTGT